GATGTGGTAGGCATTTAACTGCCTGCCGGAGCATCTTGCTTTTCATGGTTACATTCCCTGAACGATTTGATTTATAAAAGTAGAGGTCAGAAAGGTTTCACTTTCATCATTGTGAACAATCTTCAGCAATGAAACTGAGTGAAACATGCTGTTAAAAAAAGGACATATCAGTTTCAGTGCAGAAAAAAATAGCTCCGATAGCTTTGAACAGAACTCAGCTATGACTTTACATTTTTCAGTGTGGGTCAAAACACTGAAAATAAATAAATAAATGTTTTTGTCATCACTACCTCCACCCACAGTTTTTAAACCCACACCAGAAGTTCACTTTCTGAAAGTTGTGACAAATCTTCCTCCGCCGAGGAAGCTCGCTCTGAGCAGTATTTGCTTTTATATTTTGTATGTAACATTACGTAGGAGCAGGTAGTGGATAATAGCTACTGATTTGTAAATAACAGGACATGAATAACCTCACCTTATTATATAATATCATACTACAGTATGATATTATATAACACATTTTGGGGTTGGCTTCAAAGAAAGGCAGATGTGAAATTTAAAAGTGAGGTCAGAGGTCCAATGTGGGATAATATTTCAATTCCCCATACAAAAGTATCATTCCCTAAATGTTTTCAATATAAACAAACACAGTAGAATTTTAGATTTTACGAAGGTTTAACCTTATTTGACCTTGAAGAAGAGGTCAGAGGTCCAAAGTACAGATGGACCGATCCAATATTACGTATCGGTATCGGTCTGATACTGACCTAAATTACTGGATCAGATAGCGGAGAGAAATAAAAAATGTAATCCAATCCAATAAATATTAAAAAAGCACCTCACAAAACTTGCGACATGGCGTAACTCGGCTCATAACCATAGCACGTCGGAGCAGTATGCGTCACGTGATAGAGCAGCTGTGGCGTGGGAGACCTGTCGGCGGTCTAGTTGAGTATTTGTAGCCTCGCTACCAAACCGGCATTTCATCTCCGAGAAAGTTATCCCAGAGAGAAGTAAAGCAAGTGTGTAAGTTCATCTCTGAATGTTTGTAAAGCATTCCAGCGTTAAGCTTAACAACCGATATATGGAGC